TAGTGAGTTTTCCCACGAAACATGTTGATTTTCCATAGTTATGTTAGTTTGCCAGAGGGTACCATATTTCAGACCAAGCCACCATCAGGAGCTGGGAGAAATGGGTGATTTATATACTCCATGGAAGCACTTTTTTTCCATGGAAAACCCGTGGCTTCCCAACAGGTAATTGGGAGCAGCAAGAGTGAGCAGTTACCAAAATGGGGTGTTTACCACCAATTTGTTGCCTTATTTATTGGGAGTATAATCTTCATAAATGCGTTTTTTCTTCAATGAGTGTTATGAAACGAGTCATAAAGATGCAGGTGTCAAACAGAAAACAAAAGAAATGATGAATCAAAGTTCAACAAACAAGGGGACAATGGTTAGACAGAATGGGTTATATGGGAATATTGACCAATGCATGAAAACTACAAGCAATCAGAACCTGGATATGCTTGAGCTGTTATGACTTTCTGGGGATGTTTTCCTCTTCCCATCCAAAGGAGGGGTTGTAGACGGTGGTAGTATAAACATTTTGGGGTCTCACCCACAGTTTGTTTGAACATTGGTACCCATGGTTGACCATAAGTTTCCCCATTTAAACTGCATGTGGGAGGGTATCTCCATTTCAGACGCCAAAGATATCATGTTGTTGGTTACATATCCCATAGCCCCATGATTTCCGAATCCTTCAGCGTCCCAGGTATCAAGCGGCCTCAAGCGGTCTTCGACAAGATGGAGGCTGACCTTGAGACAGAAACAACCTGCTTGGATGTTTGAAACCGGTTTATCATGGGATATAGTTGGGAAAATTATATATATAATGGTAATATAATGGAATATACATAATTATATAATATCATATATATATATGCACATACAGTATACATACATGTTACACATTATAACACACACATACATATATATATATATACACATACGTTTTTATAATGGGGTTGTATAACGCCAAACAGATCAAGTTGAAAGCCCTGGAATTGCGCCTCGAAAACATCACCTGTACCATCCTGAAAAACCAACAAATCATGACCACTGTCATAATCAGGATGGTAGTACGATCGTAATATCTAGTAATGATATTAATAGTCATCATCATCCTTACCCACCACATTCATCATCATCATCATCATCACCATCATCATCATCATCATCATCATAGTATATAATAAGATGTAATAAGGATGATAGTCTTCATCAGGACTATGTATGATCTTCATCATGTCATCATGACACAGAACGCACCTACTTTGATGTCCTTTTTTGGTTTGAAATGTTTGAACATGTAGGACCCCAGACAACACACACAAAGGGACTCATCTGTAGACGATGGGAAGCCTCTGAGACGGGATGACAGGTGAAAAGCGGGCATAGTTCAAAAATTGTCGTCCATGAAAATTGGGATGTATATATGTATGTATATATATATGTTATATGTTATATATATATATATGAGTGTTTCCCACACTAGGGTTATCCCAAATTAGACCACTCAGTATTGAAATAACCATGGTGACTTGGCTTACCCCCAATTATTCGGAAGCCTCCATAGTTACATATGCAAGAATTCAGGGTATGTGAGCCCCAACTGTGCAGGCGTGGTCGTCATGGGCGTATCGGGAAAGATCCATTTGCTTGGGCAAAAGCAGCTTGGCCGGACCAGACCACCGTTCGTTGGTTTGGAAGATTTTAGGGAAGCTTGAGTCGAGGCGAAAGTGGCAGAAGTTGATTCTCAAGAAACAGGCCAAGATTTGTTGATGGTAGATTCTGCCTCGTCCTCTACCCCTGAGAAATTCGACTGCTGCAAGCGTTCTTTGCTGCAGCGAGGTTCCAGCTGTTCCAAGAAGGACCTGCGACGGCTCAGACAAATTGGATGAGAAAAGCTATAGGAAACCCAGAGTTTCTGCTTAAGATTTTACTCTTAGACCAATCCAGTGAAAGGTGTTTTAGTAAGCCTTGTATACAAGATATGCAGAGATGTGCATTCTGTGAAAATCAACTCACAACTGCTATTGATTATAGCCTGGAATCCAACATTGGTCAAAATCATCAGCCCTTTGTGGATCCAAAAAAAGAGGTTCCCCAAACAAATGCCCCAAAGAGATTACCATATTTTTGTTTGACAACCTGGCCATGGAAAATCTGCTAGCGGCCTTTGCATCCCAGAATTGGTTCAAGGGAACATGTACTGTATAGACTGTATAGATGTCTATATCCAACATATTTGTGCATAAAAACTGAGCCGGTTTCCTTTAACAATTCCAGGAAATCAGTCCATGTACCCTTTGGATCCCTTTGGTAAGCATGGTTTTCTGGAAAATCCCTCATTTAGTTCGATGACTTTCCCAACAAAAAGCGTTTATTTATAGCAGACGGTACATATATATATACATGTTATATATATATTATATTTATATATATAATATTTATATATTATATTTATATATATAATATTTATATATTATATTTATATATTATTTATATATTATATTTATATATTATATTTATATATTATATTTATATATTATATTTATATATTATATTTATATATTATATTTATATATTATATTTATATATTAAATTTATATATTATATTTATATATTATATTTATATATTATATTTAGATATTATATTTATATATTATATTTATATATTATATTTATATATTATATTTATATATTATATTTAGATATACATTTTACATATTGTTTATATGAATATATATATATGTATGTTCCTTTGGTTTTCCCATTATATTCCATTGTTTCTGGGCTATTTCAGGAGTGCAAACATTCTTCGCTGGTGCATTTGCCACAGTTCCTGGACCAGGAGCAGAAGGCGGGGATCAATGATATATGGATAATATTGATCATATATGATCTGATCATATAACTGATATCATGTATATATATGATTATATATATATGTAATGTGGGAAAACAATGCCGTAAACCACCCATGACTGGGAACGGTAAACATACCACCTAATTATTGGTTGTCAGAGAGGTTCCTTGGTTCTTTCCTTTTGGGAAACACTCTCAGAGAATCATGTGTTCTTCACTAAGCAGCTGCAGTGGCTGTTGCCAAGGCATCGCAAGTTGTGCTCGTCGAGCGGAATGCGTTTGCATCTTAGTCTTAGTCTCTCGTGACTTCTCTTCGCTGACTGCTCACACATGTTCTTTGTCGGCTTGTCGGATACGTCTACATTATATATGAGTAGACAATACAAAATGACGAAATGACGTAATGATACATAATGCGCAATCTGATGTAATCGCGTAAATCCAAGATAAATATAGTAACTATGTATTTACAAAGGGTTGTAGAAACCACGCCTTGATCTTCGATCTCCATCGGTGGACAGCCGTGTCCTGCCCAGGAGAAATGGCTCCGCTGAAGGCGCAGATGTCACCGTCACCGGGCCCGGGATCACTGACATGGCTCCGAACTCAACCTCCAAAATAGATACCCTCTGGTTATTTAAGGTAGCCATGGTATAGATGGCCCATTCATAGATGATTTACCTATGAAAAATGGTGATGTTCCATGGCTATGTTAAATAACCAGATGGTAGTTATGATTTTGACGGGTTTCTGGCCATAAGCTCATGAACATAAAGATGACTGATAGATCGTGAGTCAATAAAGGTACCACAGGGGTTGCCATACCGTCAAAGATGGAGGACCCGTGTATACTCGTCTTGCAAAGCAGCTTGTGGTGTCCAGTCAAAATGGGTATGGGTCAAAATGATTTGACCCCAAAAAAATGATGATCCGTCCCAGTACGCATGGTCAAACGTGTGGGTTCAGTGGAAACCCAATTTTGTCCCGTACCCAAATTGATACTAAAGCACGTTTGGTTTGATTCCATATTCTTTCCATGCATGACATGCCCAATATTGCTATTGAAGTACCCATTCAGACATCTAAACCCAAAATTGTCACTACTGTTCCTTCCATGATTCTTAGAGGCTGGCTTTGATTGGAAATAGGCTGAATTAGTATACCCTAAAGTTTAGATCCCCATAGAATCTCATGTTTTCGAACAACATTTTCAGCATCCTGCGGTAAATTTCGACTCCACAAGGAGCCAGTTTGGTGATGAGGTCGGTGGGCAAATCCCCAATGGGATCTGGGGAAATCTAGGACAACAGTTATCATCGAGGGCCTAGGGAATTTGAGGATGATTCGAAATCCCGGAAAAACAGGGAAAAACAGGGATTATGATTGGAACACACCATTTAAAACTGCTATGTGAATGGGACTTCCCAGCGATATCGAATTGTTTTTTTCTCTCGCAGTCAGAGAAAAGGGCAGTAGCACCTACAATCATCAACCAACAGGAAGATTTTCGAAGATTTTGACTGTTTTAGTGACGTGAAGCGACGATATTCGTATCAGTCCAAAGTGTGTTCAATCATGTTCAATCAACAACAGCCTATGCAGGGATTTCCACACTTGTTGGTGTATTCTCCCAACAGATTAGATGATAACGGGGATGAGTCAAAACCTAAAATGCCTTAAAGTGCCTCATTGAGGGGGATGAACATCCATGTGCGACCTGTTTTGGTGAGGGTACCAGAGTTTGTTTGACCTACAACCAATGCTTGGAATCGTTTCCAAGCACCAACCTCTACATCCAGCGCTTATTGAACAGCCACTGCAGCCATAACGTACAGATTTGGGAGTTTGAAGTTGGAGCGGTTGGCCACCTGGTTGGCAACCATTAGCAACCCACGACCCATTGCGTAAAAATGATGGGTTGTGACCCACTAGCGACCTCACTTGTTGGATCCAGTGGCTCAAGAAAATCGGCACATCTCGGCATGAAAAACGCCAGGATCGATCCAATCGGATCGACTTTTCGCCAATCTTATGACGTTGGCAGATTTGAAGCTACATCTCAGCTATATAATATGATATAATGTATGTATATATACATATTATAAAGTACTATATAATTTTATATTACAATGTGATCATTACGTGTTTTCTGGGACTTGGGCAGCTTGATAGCTCTTCAGTTAGTTTCCCCCTCCCGCCATGGGGAAGCATTGTGGCGGCAGTCGGGAGGTGAGATTGTGCGATGAAAAATGACCATCATCGGGTTCAATGGGGATATTTCACAATCAAAATAGGGACATACTCCCAACCAGCTGTAAGTCATATAACATGGTATACGGTATAACCTTGAATATCCGGATTAGGTTCTGGGTGAATTATGACGACCTCACTGCCACACTGCGACGTCATTGGAACTGATGGTTACTTAGGATTGAAGTAACTATCCCAAAGTGGCTTGTTTGTAGGTTGATGAATTAGTATAATTAGTCTACACTTATACCAGCAGTAGAAGCATTGCATTTTTTGCGGACTTAAGCCACAAAACTTGGGATAGAACGGATAGATCATGAAACAATATTAATAATTCATGGGTTTGTCCAGAAGTGCGTAGTACCCAAAATTAAAAGTGTCATGGCAAAAAACATGGTGTATCACTGGTTTAAGAAATGGTTTTAAGCGTTCTATCCCTGTATACTTTGGGGGTGTTGACAGCTTCTATTTTTGGCGGGTAGGGCGAAATCAGTGAACAGGAACTGTTACTTTGCATGCAACACGTGAGGATTTGCGGCACAAAATCCAGTCCTCTGTGCACTTCTTAGCTATTGGGAGCTTTCCAGTTAAGGTGAAGTTTTATATGGTAGACCCAACAATCATCCGCCGACTGGGGATGGTTTGCACCCACCGGTTCTGGTATAATTTATGTCCGGTGTATAATTAATGGGTTTACCACATTATGGTGAGTGAATATATTATATTGCTTATCGAGGCTGTAAATGGGCGTGACCCATAGCCAGTTGAGATAAGAACCTAAACACCAGTATTGGTAGCTCAATATGGCAATCACCATAGTTTTATGGGCCCCAGTTATAAGTTAGTTTACAGTCTCCTTTAAATATACATAATCATACGTATGATATTGGAATTATGAACCAACTTAGCTGTCTAGGGGGCACCACCATGTAAATAGGATGTCCTGATCATGACGCTCCCCCAAAATAACATAGACCCTGCCAAACGGGGCTTTGGAAGATTATATAGGTTCCACTCAAAATCGGCTATTCTCGGGGTCTATGTTAATTCGTGAGATGGATAACCTATACCTAGATAACATCGTTGGACCATATTTATGATAATCTATTCGATATACCTATTTGTAGTTATGTTCTAACATGTTCTAACATAGATGGATATACCAAAAGTGTGGACCCAAAATGGGAAATAAAGTCAGATGGATACTATTATCTATACTAAGATGTCCTTAGGATATCTTTGGATATATGGGAGAGAGACATGGGATTATCTATGCATGCCCTAGTTGATCATATGATCACACATACTTAGATAGCATCGTTAGACCATATGACCATCTTTACGCAGATATACTTTGATATCACTCAACATAGTATACTTCGAAGATATATGATGATATGATCAGCATAACATGGCTAGACCATGGGATTATCTATATAAGTATACACCTCTTTCATATACCCTAAGGATATCCTAGTAGATAAGATCCTAAGGATATCCAACGATATAGGATATCTTCCGAATTGGTTTCAGGGAAAGCTAAAGGAAACATTTTTTTTTCAGGTTAAAGCCGATAGTGTCCTGTAAAATGCCCCATGAGCGAATCAATTGAGATAGTTTGACCATATGATTATCAATGCATCAGCAACAGAAACATTGGATTCTTTGATCATCTATCTAACATTAGACAGTACACTTAGATGGATCATCCATACTGAGACCAACATATTAATATTAAGGATGTCCAAGGAGATAGTATCTGAAGGGTATCAAACGGTAAAAGTAAATATAGTTGGGATGTGTATATATATATTACTATAATATATATATATCTATTAACTATATTTATTTACTTATACCAGATCACTGTATAGTGTCTTGACTATAGATGTATATAGCATATATAGTTACTTTTACTATATCATACTTAACTATATACATATTAATATAGGTATATTACTAGTAATAGTAACTAGTAACTATAAGTACACTACTATGTACTAGTTAACTAATATGAAATACTTAACTATAAGTATATTTATATATCATAGTTGACTAGCTATATAGTATATATATAGAGACAAACTATAGTTACTTATCCCAGAGTACTATATAGTTACTATAATAAGTATATAGTACAGTAACTATAACTATAGCACTATCTATTAACGATAGTTACTTACTATAGCTATATTAGTTATAGATTAACTTTAACTCTATTACTTATTCCAGAGTACTACGTAGTTACTTTCTATAATAAAGTGTATTGCTACAATGATAAAACACAACTATAGTTGATATATTATATATATAGTTCACTATAAGTATACATTTCTATTAACTATAGTTACTTATTCCAGAGTACTATATAGTTACTATAACAAGTATATAGACAGTAAATATTACTATAGTACTATATCGTTACTTTCTATTAACAATACTTTCTTTACTATAATTGTAGTATATACTATGTAGTCACTTTCTACAATAAAGTATATTGCTATAATGATAAACACAGGTACAGTTGATAAATTATTTATATACTCACCTATAAGTATTTTACTATATCAGCTATATAAGTATATGAGTATAGTATATTCTATATGTGTTTATAGCAATAGCTGCAAGTATAATGATAGATCAACTATATTCATAGTTAACTATACCAATTACATATAAAGTATATGTTTAACTATACCAGTATTGTTATAGTACTATACACTTAACTATAGTTGATATACAGTTGATATATTCTATAGTGAATAGAATATATCAATATATATATATCAACTATAGTTAAGTGTATAGTACTATAACAATACTGGTATAGTTAATCATATACTTTATATGTAACTGGTATAGTTACTTATATATATATAGTACACTACTATAAAACAGCATCCACGGCAGGTGGGCAGCCGCATTCAGCTGGACGGTGCCTGGAGCTTCCAAGCGCAGCTGGATGCCTTACGCGCCTGCAACCGGGAGGAGCCCAAAACAAAACGGCCGGGGACCGGGGAGATTTCAGCAACTTATGGCATGCTTATAGCATTTTATAGCATTTTTCATAGGGAAAACTTGATTTTAACTCATGTTTATAGAAGGTAAAACTTGATTTTAACTCATGTTTATAGCATTTTTTATAGGGAAAACTTGATTTTAACTCATGTTTATAGTAGGTAAAACTTGATTTTAACTCTTGTTTATAGCATTTTCATAGGTAAAACTTGATTTTAACTCATGTTTATAGCATTTTTTATAGGGAAAACTTGATTTTAACTCATGTTTATAGTAGGTAAAACTTGATTTTAACTCTTGTTTATAGCATTTTTCATAGGTAAAACTTGATTTAAACTCATGTTTATAGCATTTTTCATAGGGAAAATCGATGAAGATTTGGGGAAACCTTGATTTTAACTCATGGTTAGTAGAAAACAATGATGAGTTTTGGAGATGTAAACAGCGGAAATTAGATAGAAATTGTATGAAACCAATGATTTGTTATTTGAAAGATGATTATATATGTATAGGATTTGCTTGGATATCACCAGCTATGCATGTGGTTGTGTCCAGAGATGGGTGAAAACCACAATTTAAAGCCATCTTAATAGGGAAAATCAAAAATTATATACCAATGGATTCAGCGGTAACCTATTTTTGGACAGAACTGTAAAGACCTTAATTTTGGTAAAGGTGTGTTTATTTAAGTTGTGAATCTCCAAGTGTGTTGCGTGTGTGTTTTCACGTTTTTGTGAATTGCCCTGTGGTAACACTGGCGTGATGTGAGACACAGTGCCAAAAGGAAGCTTTGCCGCGGTAGCCACCAACAACATCCAACAACAATAGTGGGAATTAGTAGCCATAATTTGAGTTAAAAAAGAGCAGAAGTGGTATTAGAAACATGGCGCAAAGATGGAGATGTCCACCACTGATGTTCTTTTTGATGGAGTACAGCCGACAGAATTATGGAAAAAAGGATCGACAAATACGGCAGCAGACGGAGAAACCAAAAAAGAGATCAGATGCGTTACTTTTTTTTTCTACAATTATGTTTTTTCTATACTTGTTTTTCTATAATTTTGTCGGCGGCTATAATTCTGATGGAATTTGGCAGGGTTCACCCAAAATAGAGGGGCAATATGAAGTGAAGAAACAACTAAAAGTCTCCGACAGATTTATAGAAAAAACCCTTGAAATGGCCAAAAGTTATCGATAAAAACATCATTTTTGCTTGTTAACCCTTGTGGGGAAAACTCATTTATAGGGAAAAACTGCAACGGCAGGTGCTGCCGTATCTGAAGTTCTCGCCAACATGTGTATTATAGAAGATATATATGGTGTGCGTATAATATATATATATGTATATATATACATAGATATATAGCGGGTCCATCTGAAAATGGAGGTACGCCTTCCAAATGGTTGTTTCAGTAGGGACAATGATGATTAACCACATCAAATTTGGGGGGTATCCTATGGGACAAACCACTGGGCACTACGTATTTGTATCGGATTATATACATATTACTACCATATTAATTTTTACATATTACATAAATAAACAAACTATACATCCTTGTGTATATATATATACACAGGTACATACCTAGTTTCACCCGAACATACATTCCTATACTGACATAGACGCTATCATCCCGACATGTTTTGAGAGGCTGCCAAGAATTTCCAGCATTTAAGCATCCGCACCAGCATCATCATGATGTAAAGGCCAATGAACCATCATGAACCATCCCCATCACCAGAAATGGATCGTAGATGTCATCCCTAAAGGTGGTTTCAGTGTTCTTTTCGCCATGGCCAGGAAGATTGGACTTTCAAGGAAAATTCTGTGAAGGAAGTGACCGACCGTGGACGCACTGAGGCCGTGAGGTTTTCAGATCCTGAAACATCACGGGAATAGCCATGGTGATGATGTCATAGCCTATGCTCACTTAGCAACAAGTGATTCATCCCAAAATTGGGATGTTCTGGTGCTAGGTTTGGTTGATGGTAAGCTAGGGTAGCTGTTCTACTTCATGACCTGGTATCCCATGGTTTTGGCATGTGGGTTCCAGTTTGATGTGGGCGGAGGTTGACTTCAATAGCAGCTGCCCGCCATGAACCGCAGGCGACAGCACGTCTTCAGAAGGCACTGGGTGAGTCGCAGCTCATGCCGCGTCAGAAGCGAAAGGCAAACGGGGCGTGCTGAAAGCTTGAGGGCACAGGACTACGGTCGAAGTGTTGCAAACGAACTTAAAGATCAGGGCATTGGTGGTTTCAGTCATAATTCGGATATAATATTAGTAAAGCAATGATAACAACCCACATTTTGATGGTTTACACCACCCATGCATGGTCAAATTGGGGGATGGTTTATATACTATTGCTTTATAAACATTATTCATGTACCTTTAGATACAATCATCTCTCAGAATGCATATTGTATGTACTGCAACGTACGTAGTTGTATATCTGTGCATGTGCATACATTAAACATTTACAACGATGTGTACATGAGTTGTTATGTGATACCTTCGCACCTCACACAAAAGGTACATCGATGTATTCTACTCTTTGGTAATCAAACATGGCTGGCTGGAAGAATCTTTTATAACCCATAGGATCCATGTATGCTATATATGGTAACATTTACCATCAATATACCCCCAATGTTAGCGCATATACCATACATGGATCCTAAGGGTAAATGATTGGACAATCATCGAACTAAATGAGGGGATTTGTCCTTTGAATCGCCCATGTAGTTTGAGGATTTTCGCATTTACCCTCTGGATCCCTCTAGTGATTTAACATAACTATCGAAGATCACCTGATTTTTAAACACAGTAATCATGTTTACCATCTACAAATGGACCATTTTTACTTCCAGTTGGCAAAGTGTCAAATCACCAGAGGGTTGATTTCTGCCGGCTAGGCGATCGAGCTGGAGAATGATGAGGATCGCAAGATTACAGAGGCCCGGCCCGTGGGTCCATGTGGGTCCAATGGCGCGCCATGAATCTGCACGGGAAAAAAAACCACATAGCTAGCGCACGACTCACCATTTTAATAGGTAAATTATTGTCTGAAAAATGTGTTTTTTTCCTAAGTGAATTTCCAAGCGGGTATCTACATATATAATCAAAAATATGCAATGTGATATCATAGATAGTTTGACACTAAAGATAGCTCTTTGTATATAGATCGCTATATGTATATATTATTGTGATTTAGTGTATATATACTTGTCTGCAAATGAACATTTGGATAAACAAAAACTGTTGATGCACTCACCGGTGAAGCGACAGCATACTTCCAGGCCATGAAAGCGGCCGAAGCAGATGTGCGCATCTTGACATATCTTGGCCGTTGCGATCTCGCTTGACCGAGTTATCCCAATAGTCCCGTCTCCCTAAATGGTCCCTACAGTAATACCCTCTGGTAATTTAACATAGCCATGGAAAATCACAATTTTTAATAGGTAAACCATCTATAAATGGGCCATTTTCCATGGCTATGTTGAATAACCAGAGGGTATATGTGTAAATCCGCTACTAAACCATGGTTTCTGGGTTTGTGAACTCCTGTAATTTGACTGAAGCGGTGTTAGAAATATGTGAGTGGTATATCATTGTAGCAACGTGTGACGCTTGAATGTACGTGATGTGTTTTTATGTTTACGAAATACATGTATGTATGTTTTATACTGCATGACGCCTTTTCCGATTATATATATATATACGTGTATATATATATCAAACAATATATATATAGACACAATATGTGTACTGTATATAATTTTATGTATATATATATTATACACAGAGTCACATAGTATTTTTCATAGTCATAGTCACATGAAAATGTTACATTTATACACTCTGATTGATCTGTGTATATGTAATGTATATATGTATATGGATGTGTATATATATATATATATTTATATATATTTATATATAATGTATGTATACATTTAAAAACTAAGTGTGTATATATAATATATATATGGTGTGTCCGCATGTCCAGATGATGTGTTTTTACGCGGCCGATTTTCCATGGGACCACTGAAGGAGGATCATCCTGATCCTAACTGGTGATTAGTGGGATGATCCTCCAAGTATGTCTCGTTTCACAGTACCTAAGCTTAAATCCTCAGAATGGTTGGGTGTTGAAAAAAAGGGACCTGAATCTTTGTTGGTTACTGCAAATCATGTTAAATGACCGTTGACAGCCGATGATTTCCATTGATTGCCCTTTTGGCCGTTCCACGTGCCAAGGCAAACATGTCCGGGCGCTGCTGGCACCTTTGAAGGAGCCGCGGCGAGTTTGTGCAGGGAAAGTGAAGCCATGATGGTTGAGTTTCACAAAGCTGACAAAGCTATTTGCCCTCTGGTAAACTATCACATCTATCGGAAAATCATCCTTTCTAATAGGTAGATCATCGAACTAAATGATCCGTTTTCCATAGCTAGGTCAGTTTACTAGAGGGTAGTTGGTTACATGGAGGTACAACCACGAATGGTGAAAATCATGATGAGAGGTGTGTATGAACATACAATCAACCAACATCTGCTTCGGTGGTTTCTTTCATATTTCTCTCTTGTTGAACATGGAGAGGATGATCTGAACTCATATGTTGAAGGGGTTGAAGCTCCTCAGCAGTGAAGTACCCTGGAAAGATTCGCCCTTCCTGGCATCTTCTCTACTGTCATTCCACTTGGTTGTTTGCCACGAGAATTTTCTTTTGATCATCATCATCAACAACATCATCAACAACAACAACATCATCATCATCATCAACACGGCAATGACAGTCATATATTCTTGAGAAAATATTGAACTGAGATAGCTGATGTGGGATGTGGCAACACAACGTTGAGAAGGTCTGATCCCTTGAACATCTCAATTTCAGCGGTCACCTTGAGTGATCAGCGGAAACCATGCCTTCTAGCCTCAAATATAGCAGTTTCCGGTTTTGATTTCCCTGAAACCACTCCATTGTTGGCTATATGATCATATATGATCTATATGTATAATTAGACCCTCCAAATTCCAAATACCCCCCAAAAAATGCTAAGAGTACCAAGATGATTGGGTAAAACACCAAGTTTAAGGGTACTTGGAGGCCAACTTGGGTCTATCTCCATGTTATCCAATGTGATCCCCATGTTTCGATGAAATCCATCTCCAGGACTTAGAGCAGGTCCCCCGCAGCGCCGACAGCGACGCGGCGGCGTTGGCCATCTTTCGACAGCTGCGGCGGCTGCAGGTGACCGTGGAGTGCCTCAAATCCACCAGGCTCCGGGGCGATTTTTGGGGGTGAAAAATGAGTGGAGTTGAGCGACCAGAAAAATCATGTGAAAAATGATCGACCAAAAAAATCCAACATTTAGGTCGACCGGGTAGTTTCTGATAGTTTTTGAGGATGGTGAGGTGTGACATTAGATGAGTTTATGGGAGAACGGTGAGTTTCGAATTGAATAGAAATTATTGTTCAAACATAGTAAGTTGACCTGCAGAAATAGCAAGCATATGTTCAATGTAGAGAACTGTGAACTGACAAACTCTGAAAAGATATAAAAAAAATGCGTTATTGGGATTTGAGATGATTTTTGCAAGCAACACCGAGCCAAGAAAATGTGGTTGACGCAGGGAAAACGGGAATTGAACCAACAAACATGTGGATAGCCAACACAAAATGTCTGCGGATTGAACCAACCAATATATAAAATTATATAAGCGGTCAAAAGCAGCAATAACGGATCTAGAACCATCCAAAGAAAATGGTGATTCAACCGATTGAGAATTGGTATGGGTCAGAATAGCAGGCTTTGGGAACCACGGATTTTGGCAAGTTTGTAGCAATAAAGTATCCCGTACTATACCTAGTTTTCATCACACCCTGAATGAATTTATTGCTTGCAAACATGTCAAGATATCGGCAATGATAAGGTATCTCTCAAAATAGGAAGTTTGAACTGTTTTGAAGAAATAACATGATTCTTTCAAAAACAGGATGCTCACTGTTGCCAACAATTTGTTCACATATTATTGCAGGATGGATACACCTTCCAAAAATCAGATTTTGTATGGTAGTGACTAGGTGAGTCAGGTGAGGCGGCTGATTGGAGGCATATGCCAGTGGGCCAGGGAGCATAGTCAGAATATACATCAACGTTATTGAGAACCCAGAGAACCAAGTTTGCACTATCACTCTCACCAGCATGACTGCACATTGAAAGAAGCGAACAATCTAGTTAATCTAATCTAGTTGTTGCATATCCCAATATTGACCATTTGTGCAGGTATGACATGACATCAGTGGTGTTCCCCAGTTTCTCGGATGCTAAAAGTGTTGGGTAAGTGGTCAGTTCGGCAATCTGCAAGTGATTGGCCACCATGAAAGATGGAGCAACCAACAAATCCCCGATCATATGGCTGGTTACTAAATGGTTACTTTTTGTCTTCTTGTATATTTTCCCTGGAAGATCATCCTGTCTTTGGCCCGTCCTTGATGGGTTATAGTGGTTTATACATGTGTATCTCCTATTTTCGCTGATGGATGTCACAGTACTTGATATCAACATCTTTAATGTTTCAACTCGCAATCTCGTGAAGCCACTATTGCGTATTGAATCTCTCCATTTATAGATGATTTTCCCGTAGACTCCCATTGAATTTCCATTTAATTTTCATGAAAATAACATAAAATAACCATGAAATCCCTAAATGATGTTGATATCCCCAATCCCCATCTTTGTAGATGAAATCCCCATGACTTCCCCTTTGCGCCGGCACCCCCGCAGCTCGAAGCTTGCACGAGAGGATCGCTGCGGAGCTGAACAAGCCCCGCTGGCGCGGCGCCAATGCCGCTCCGGAGGTGCGTAATGCGGTGACGTCACTGATCAAAGGCTGGAGAAGTATGTACAGGCCGGGCCAGGGTGGGGAAGGATGTGATGAGATGTGATGAGATGTGTCTATAAATAATTGATATATATATATAATATATATAGAATGTGTAGATATATAATACATGTGTTTTGTAATTTTATAATGAATAGAAGCAATATATATATATATTTATGTATATATTATGTATATCATATGCGGCATGTTATTTACATGTTACATGTACTTGAAACAACAATGGGGGACAATCCTGATGGTGACAATGGTACTGCTGATAGAAAAAGAAATACAGGGATAATCGTAGGCCATGACAATAACAATGGGTGCACAACTAGATGTTTGCTATCCCGGGATTCCATTATGCGTCCTATATCCTGTTATTGTATGGGTGCATTGACCTGTTAGAATTAGATAAAGATATATAAACATGATCAACATAGGATATCATTATATATCTCCCAATTGAAGCCCTTGTGGCGTGTCAACTTCCAAGAAAAGCCCACGACTAATAGATGGCTTGTCCATGTCAGATGGAACAAAACATGGGAATTTAATGCAGCAATTCCCATTAAATTGGTGAATGGTCAAAACGTTTGGTATAAATCGCTTGTAAAACAGATACCGGATACCACAACCATTAGATGGCAAAAGTGTTCTGTTTGTTTTCTCAGCTAAAAAAGCCGTGCCAGAGGATTTGGGAACCTTGCTCATTCAACCCTTGATTGATGAATAAGCGGGTCACAAGGTATGTTGATATCGCAACAGGGGTCGGAAGGGTCATGTTTAACAGAAAATTCACTCAACCTGAAACCACAGGTGCAACTGGAGACAAACATGTATGGGAATAGATTTTCCCAACCTTTCTATATGATTTTCCTCTTGAACACAGGGTGTTCCCGATGGCCACATGTGTGACGGGTATACCCCAAGCATCTCTATCCCTCTCTGTCTCTTTCTCGTTCTATGATTCTGCACATGTATGTGATATGTGTGTGTATCTGTACACATGCAGTAAATGTATAATGATTGATTCATATGACGATGATGATGATGATGATGATGATGATGGCAGTGATGGTGATGATGACGACGACGACAATGATGATGATGATGATGATGGTGATGATGATGATGGTGGTGATGATGGTGATGGTGATGATGGTGATGATGGTGATGATGATCAGATCGTGATGATCAGATCGTGATGATCAGATCGTGATGATCAGATCGTGATGATCAGATCGTGATGACGACGACAGTGACGATGATGATGATGATGATGATGATGACATCTACATTGACATGTATATATGTGCTATGTTTGTACTATATTATATGTATGGACATGTATTCACACACACACATATCCACCCGACATACTCACTGATTGACTCAGGGCTGAGACCGGGAAGAGCGACGTCCTCGATGCCACCCGGGCCAGAAAGGTGCGACTGCAAGCGGTGGACCTGGAGGACACGTTTAGTCGGGGGCCGTTGTGGAGAAATAGTGATCTAATAGTGATTTAAAGGGATATTAATGGGACGTTAATGGGATTGTATGGTGATTTAATGGGGAAAAACATGATGTGAACCATTCAACCAACAAAACATGGTGAATCTCCCTTGAAGAAATGTGATTTCGTGAGGAACACTCATTGTAAATCGCTATAAGATGTGACTGACTGTATGGGGATATAATGGGATATACAGACACAACAGGGGATTTGGCCAGAGGTTGTGGCCACCAGAGAAAGCTGATACTTGTACTTCGGTATTCATCTCGGTGTGTAAATGGTAAACAACCTGTGTATATATATATATAATTATATATATATAGACCTGCAGTAAATCTGTTTATTTAATGTTTATATCAATGAGGGTTTCCTAAAATGGAGGTACCCCTGAATCATCCAAATCATTAGACCATGACTTGGTATTGAACCAACCATGGTGGTTTGGGGATCCCCAATGACTTAAGAAACCCCCCAAATCATCCAACCAACATCCCAAATCAGCCGGCCGGCTGGTTGCTTTGGCAAACCACCATGCTTATGTATGATTTGAATCGCCATCGATAGTTCAGATTATTTAATGATATTTATAGCATTTTTTGATGTCCATCAAAAAACAATAACATATGCCTCTCATATGACTTCATGAAATTCCACCATTCCCCCGTTTTTCGGGCTTTGGTCATCCCCACACCTTCCGCGAGGAGAAGATCTTCGCGCAGTATCAAAGGCTCAAGGACTACCGTCGCGTGATGGAGCTGGTCACCGAGGTGCGCCAGGTGAAGCCATGGTGAAGCCATAGCCGAAATGGGGACCTTACGATCACTATATCAATGGATTGGTTTAAGGGAAAATTTACAGGAAAACACCATGTTTCATATTGTTCAATGGGAAAATCTAGGGTTTCCGGTGAAGATGTTCCCTTAAAGCAATCCATTGACTTTAGGTTTATGAAATGTTATGAAGCACATCAGAAAGTGGGAAAATCCTCCAAGTACCATTACTGGGTATAGCAACAACCGGAACTTCGATGATGTGGACTCCCGCAGATTCTCCAGGGTGTCCAACTGTTCGGTTTTGTGAATTTTGTGTATTAAACCATATTAAACCCTGCTTTAACCGGATCTGATCGGGGGATAACTCAATGTAACTTGACCATTGCACATTTGTAGGTGAAAGAAGTAGTAGATAACCAACGCCATCAACCATCTCCTGTACTACCACTAACCAAGCATTTGGGGGAGTGATGAGAAGCAACATCGCAGATATTACGGTATAATTATATATCCAAGAAGAAACCCCAACTGGGGATTGTTGATCATTGGATTGAGCTCATTCCCACGGTAGAAGGGATTAATCATCACAAGGGGTAGTAGGATAAACCAAGTGCCCAGAAGGCGGCGAAAACACTGGGCTTCCCCGGAAAAATACCGCCAGCTTGTAGCTACAGCACCAATCTGTGGGGACTTGTGGACCACAGAGATTCAGATGAAAATGATGAAAACTTGGAAATGAGATCCATGTACCCTCTGGTAAACTCACGTAACTATGGGAAATCACCATTTTCAATGGGAAAATCCACTTATAAATGGTCATTTTCAATAGCTATGTTAAATTACCAGAGGATACATCTTACAGTGTATGATATGCATCGGGAAAGTGGCAGCATTGTCCAAAATCTCTCCCTCCATCCATCCACAGGAACTGATGCAATGCAGAGACGTCAGTGACCGACTGTTGGAAGGCGACAGCGGTATGGAGCAGCCATTTGACCGTTGAAAAATGGGTAGGTATCACAGACTTACCCTACGGAAGTCAAACATGGCAATGGACATCATCCATATATAGACTAGATGATGTTCATTGATTTTCCCATTGCAACTTCCAGGAGGGATTTTCCCTTCGCCATGTTTAATTATCGGAGGGTAAGTCATCGTTTACTATTCAACCATCCAATTTTGACCCCTTTCTTGACAAATATTCAACTTGACATCATGGCATAGTAATGCCATTTCATGAATTTTCAACTAGTGGCTACTACGGAAGTGAGACTTTGCCTATACCATGGCCAGAAATGGATGTCGATTGAGGGAAATCAACACACATTTCCCAAAAAAATGCTTCAAAGTTGAATTTCCCATTTTTGGAATTTTGGATCCTTCACCTATCTCCAACTCGTTTCTTGGGTCAGGTAGCCTCTCCGGCTACGACTTGGTCGCCAAGAATGCGGGTCGTCTCCGCATTGCCGCGCGCGCGGTGGACGTGGTGGATGTGGAGGAGCGCTGTCGACATCCCATTGGAAGAAACGGGGCAACTATCATCATAGAATGGGGAAAGATCATGGGAATCAATGAATATAATTATGGGGAACATATGGGGAACATATGGGAAACAGATGGGAATAATTGGGAATATAATTATAGAAAGATAATGGGAATATATCGGAATCCATGAATGTGAATATAATGGGATATACTTGGTTGTTCAATGGGATATAATGAGATCAAACATGAGATTTCATGGGATTTCATGGGGATATAGTGGGAAATTCATGAATAGATGGGGATATGCGATGGATATCTGCTAGATTCTACTAGTATAATAACGTATAATGGGGATATACTGTGGATATACTTGGCATTATCATCATAAAATGAGGTGAAATTATTATATTCCATATTATAGCCATATCCCCTATCATGATTACAGTATATAGTTTCCACTATAGAATGTTTACTCTAGGGTAACTATCTGGGATATATAATGGGGAAAACATCTAGAGATGGGGATATGATATGGCTATCTTTTTGTAGGATACAATAACATATAGGGAATCTAATATGATATATATATATGATATAATGGGGAAATACAATGGGGATATATTTCTTGAACTGGGGTTTAACTATCAACAATAGGGATTGAATGAACAAAAATCAAAGAGATCAAACATGGGTGTTTCGCATGGTTCAACCATGGATCTAATACTTCCATCTTTCTTTTGGGGAGGGGGAAGGGAGTATTGAGGTGATTAAGTAAACTCATCAAGAGATAGTTGTTATATGTTGTTATTCACTCGCATGTGGTATTTCATGTGATTAAATTTGATTAAACACATATACGGCGTTGTTCATCACCCGTATTAGAACCTTATTAAACTCCTATTGCTGCAGACTACCTTGAATTTCTATTGGTGAGGGATGGCTTTCGCAATCCTTGAAACTTATCGAAATTTCGACTTGGACGCCTGACATTTGGACATTTCCAGTCATAAGATGTAGTAACATAATCTTGCTTCAGAGCAAGTGGAAACTCCAATCCATCAAATACCTATATACTATGCCTTGTGGATAGCTATTATATAAACCTTCTTGAAGTTTGGACTGCTTGGGCTAGCAGCCAGCATTTGGAAAACTGCTTTCTTCGTGTGCCCAGAAACGGCGAAACGGAACCCTAAACCAAACCACTGAAACCACCAGATCCTTGCTTTTTGTGGGTGGTTTTGGGTCGTTCCCTATCTTTCCAGACAGATCTGAGATGCCGGCGAGGAGCCTGAGCTTGCGCAACCGGTCATTTGAGCCACGCCTGCGTGAGAAAAATGCTTTGACAAATGGATGGGAACGGATGGTATGTCGAATTCTGGGTTTTTCCAAAACTAGGATACCCAAAAATTCAGTGGTTTTGACATGGCTCGAATTAATTTTCCCCATGTTCAAGTCATTCATCATGTTTCGGTGAGGAGTACAGGTGGCAGATTGTCGGTGACTATCAGAGACTCATATCGCCCATGTGGCAGCAGCAATGACAGCTGGTTTCCTGGTCTGGGTATCTTTAGGATTTCCACACCCGAGAGTTTGCCATCGAAATGGGGAAAGTAAGTAGTCCCCGATGTTTTTTTACAGCAAGATACTCTCCACTTAGCCTCCAGTAAACGAACATAGACACAGAAAAGGGGAACACATTTGTATCCCCAAAAATTTCCACTCCATTATCAGGACCCCCGGGATTCCACCAAAACCCCCCCAGGTCATCTTTTGGGGGTATACATTTGTAGGTTATTTCCAGGGGAAACAAAGATGGATTTCCATAGCTATGTTCGCGCACGAGGTACTTGACGGATCATCCCGTAGCAATGAGACTCTGGATTTCCCGTGGTCGTCCCATTAGCTGTGGCTTATCCCATATAGTAATCCCCAAAAAGGTAGACAAGTGATGAAACGTGAATCTTCCATAATTAGCTATATCCCCACTATTGGATGATGTCAAAAACACTATCACTATTCATTATATCATATATATATATATCCCCTCTATTTAATTAGATAATGTTAAAAGCATTATTATAATATAGTGATATAAAGCACCATTAGATGGGGATTTAATGTTCGATATTTTTGGAGGACCCCAGCCAGGCCACGCATCAGTCTTCGCCCAGGGCCTGGGGCCAGCAGGAGATTGTCCATGCTATGGTTGAAAATCGTGAAAAAGGAACTCCCAAGAAGAAGATAGAAACAAGTAACATCCTACATCATCCTTCCAAAACAGTGAATAGTGATAACTATTACTGTTCGAATCTGTTCGATCTTTACCTCTTAGAACACACACGAACAAACGCCATGTTTGGTCATACCCAGAGCTGTTTTAAGGGATATACGGTATACAGCATTTATCAACATCCTGTGGGGCCAAGTGGTAGATGTTTCTGACCCATCCGACATCAACTGGGCTCATCTTCCCCATACTCTTGATGGCCGAACCTACAAACCAAAGTGATCAATGAGGCTAGGCGAAATTGAACCTCCTTATGATTTACCCAGGCCAGTACTTGATGCACTTGTTGGGCAGTATTGAACCCCATATCCATCCATATCCCTGTTCTGGTTGGTAAAGTACTGAACAGAATCACACGCGTCTGCAGATCCCGCATCTCAAATACTGACCAATCTCCAAATGGCATTGGCTGAACATAACTGTCCCTCGATGGATTATTGCAAAGTATATAAGTTTATCCGCAACCACCATGGTTTATCATCATTTCCCCCATCAAAGTTGCACTGTTTTACCATTCAACATCATTCAACCCTGAAAATCTTTAAAGTGCTCTTAAAATGTGGGGTCAACCCAATCAAAGTTGCCAACTTTTACCATTAAAACCCAACTTTGAATCGGCCCAAAATTTCCGATGGACGCCCGATGTTGACTGACTGCAGGAGAAGCCGATCGAGAAGTCGAAGTCCCCGCGGTTCTTCAGGTCAATGTGTGGTCCGCAGGTGGACAAGGAAACTACTGAGAAAATGGTGGTTGAACCATCAAGATTAGGGATGTTTATATATTGGAATCTATATACGTATAACTAGCAACTTTTAATGATTTTGGATGTATCAGAAATATGAGGATGAATCATGACATTTGGAACTTTGGTGGTGTATGCTATTTTCAAACAAACAAAGTTCACCATGATAATAATGGTGAAACTTAGCAACCATTTAAATTGGTTTTCGCTAATCAAACATTGGCAAGTCAACCTACGTGGATGGGTCAGTAGCTTTTTCCTATGAGTTTACCATGTGAGCGAGGGAGATGAATATCCAGCTTCCTAGCGGTTGATGTGAACTTTTCCGGGGATCCTAGGTTTTTGATCCGGGAAGACTTAACCTTGGATCTTCCCAGCAATGTAGATGGTTCATGATTGTTCCAAAGTTCTATGCCAATAGTAGCCTGTGGTAATCAAACATGGTTTGTTAGAAAATCATGGAACATCACATCATTCATAGATGATTTTCCGATTAAAAGCTTTGCTGTAGTTGTAGGGAAATTCCCATTGCTATGTTTGACAGAGTGTACCTTGGTTTTTTTTCGGGGGATTGACTGTCAATTTCATCAATTTCATATCAAAAACCAACTCAACCTGCTCAAGTCTGGATGGAACATCCTCCATTTCAGGTGACAGCGCTCGTGCTACTGGGCAGAAACAACGCCATGGTTGACAAGTTATCAATCATTTAAGGGCTGGGTTGAATTGAAGATTTTTCAGGACTCACAGATGTTTATCAGATTTTGGTCATGTCATTAGTATTTTGGATCTCGCTTCATGGGCATACAGTCAACCCCTGAACTTGGCAGGTTTACCAGCCTTGGCTTTCTGCAATTTGTGAAGGATTCTGCGAGTTTTCTCTCAGGAAGAGTCGAGTGAGCATGGAGAAGAGGAGGAGGAAGAGGAAGAAGAGGAGGAAGAAGAGATCGAAGACGATGAGATCGAGGCCACAGCTGGGAAAATCTGAGATTATGGCCCTGATTTGTTTTGGCGAAGTGGCTAAATTAAGTCGATTGACTTCCCCTTATGGTATATGTTGGTGGACGTTGGTTGTAAAACTGCATCCATATGTGCATAAATTTTCCATCACTCCCCAAATCGAATGCTCAAGTACTAAAGATGTAAGATGACCATTTCCGAGTCCATCGGAAGCTCATTTGTGAGCCATGCCCAACTGTTACCTAACATCTAATCATGCGGCATATGACTATGGCTTCTCTATCCCCAAAAAAATCCAATCGACTTATATTGGGATAGGTTGAAACCACAAACTGGTGCGATTCAACAGGTTTCATTCGAAAAAACCTGGACCATATTGTGTAACTAGAGACAGGCTTACACAAGCTGGCAGCTGGGAAGTCATGGCATATTCGTTCGTTTTAACTTCTAGATTTGTACGTGCAGGAGGCCGGCAGCCACCGCCGGTATCTCGAACCCAAGAACTCCACGTGAACCATTGCCCAAACGCATCTTGCATAACCTGAAAACATGAGTCAAGAATCGGATAGGTCGCCAAAGGTGCCACCCTGCCTTGACAGGAAGAACACGAGGAGCGAAAGAGAAGTACACTTGGCTGAAGCTGCGATGGTTCCCGAAGCCAGATAGTTTGAATGGCAATTGAGCCAACCAAAAACAGGTCGGTCATATCATAGATATGTCATAGATATGGGGATGGGTCAAAAATTAAGACCAACGGGACTGCGGATTTTAGTCAATTTTTAGTAATGACCCATTGTTGGGGTGCCCAATGTTGATCCATACCCATACAACCTAATGAATTTGTTTCTGAACTGGTCAAAGCAGCAAACATAGTGATGATATAATTGCAGCATTATGAATTGTTGATTTTGAAAGCATAACCCCTTCTATATTTGTAGGGTCCAGCATCGTGTGTGGCTAGTTTTTGGCGCCTCAAGGGAATCATATTCTTCTCTTGCTGGCCATGCTGATCAAAAACCATCCAACTGAGTTGACCGACTTAATGCCTACTCAAATGTTTGTGTTGGATAGAACAGGTCATTTCCACTGGTGAGTGGGACAGAAATCAGCATAAGTTACTCAAGCATGATTTCGAAGATTCGAATTAGATTCAGGACTTGAACCCAGCAGTTTTGACGGTGGAGCACCTCGGCATCCCCTTAGGACGGAAAGACAGCAGCAGCGAGAGCAGCGCCAGCCAACAGATTCTCAGTCAGGTCGCATCATGTTGGCAGCTTGAAAAAAAAATGTTACCGGTAGTAACACCTCCAAGAAAACATCTTCATGTTGATTCGTAGATTTTGGGGCTGACATTGGAAAAAAAACGACAAAAATAGCACGCTGAAAACTACTCTGACAGCGCCTCTTGGAATAAACTGTGAGAGTATTACCAAGTGTTGCCGAACGACCAGCACTTGAAAGATACTTGTAAAAGAATGTGAACGGCGACTCAGACAGTTCACATATGTCCTTCCTTCTTGCCGGGAGCCCAATAGATGAAGAAAAATTGGAATGTAAACCAACGATGAACTTGAATCTGACTAAATCGCAAGCGGGAATGGTTTTCGGAAGGCCCACTTGTGGTATTAGTGCATCCAGGAGCGTTCCACTAAATGACCATTTGCGGGAATTCGTGATCTTGTAAAGCTACAATGCAAACTTGTGGCAGCGGTAGATGCTGGAACATATCTCCGCATCAATCTAAAGGTGACCCCTGGTGACCCCTGGTGACCCTCCATCAGCTTGCAAAGTTGTTTGAAACTATGGAACTATATTCAGATACCCAGTAATTAGTTACTTCAGGTCCTATTCATAGATACCATCACCCCTAGTATTCGAAAGCCACTAGGTCCAGGTCGAACTTCAATCTCTGGGATCTGCCAGGCGCAGGTTGAAGAGAGATTGGACAGGCCTGGATGCAGATCATGACAGAGATGACTGCTGTGCCCAGTACTGGTGCAATTAAAAAAAACAGCCCTCCATGAACAACCCTGGTCGTAATTTTGTGAGTGACCTCTCCTGGTCACAAAAAAACAACTCAGTACTGGTGTAATTAAAAAATGTCGTAATTACACTTCTACACGTTCCTTTTGTGATACATAATCAATGCCAGACAACGAATTGGAGCGTTTGAGCGTGAATTGTGCGATTTAGTTGATTTTGAACAGGCTTGAACGATTTTGAAAGCATGAAATGAAAATATGTTTGAACCCAGGAAGCCGGGTGAAAAGTGTCACCACGTCACCCTTGACCACCATGACTGGGAATTGAGGCTCCTTAACCAGCTGAAGCAGACCGAGAAGCATGGATCAAGTGCTGATGTGAGTGGAGGCAGCGCTGCCCCTGATTCCCTGTCGCAGCCAAATCTGAAAGCCGTAGAACACCCAGAGAGGTCGACAGATCACCAGGAGATGTCAGCACATCCAGCAGATCACCAGGACATGTCGGCAGATCACCAGGACATGTCGGAAGATCACCAGGAGATTGCAGCAGATCCAGCAGATCACCAGAAAATGTCGGCAGATCACCAGGAGATGTCAGGAGATCCAGCAGATCACCAGGAGATGCCGGCAGATCACCAGGAGATGTCAGCAGATCCAGCAGATCACCAGGACATGTCGGCAGATCACCAGGAGATTGCAGCAGATCCAGCAGATCACCAGGAGATCACCAGGAGATGTCAGGAGATCCAGCAGATCACCAGGAGATGCCGGCAGATCACCAGGAGATGTCAGCAGATCCAGCAGATCACCAGGAGTCGGCAGATCACCAGCAGCAGATCCAGCAGATCACCAGGAGATGCCGGCAGATCACCAGGAGATGTCAGCAGATCCAGCAGATCACCAGAAAATGTCGGCAGATCACCACAAGATTTCAGCAGATCCAGCAGATCACCAGGAGATGCCGGCAGATCACCAGGAGATGTCAGCAGATCCAGCAGATCACCAGGAAATGTCGGCAGATCACCAGGAGATTGCAGCAGATCCAGCAGATCACCAGAAAATGTCGGCAGATCACCAGGAGATGTCAGGAGATCCAGCAGATCACCAGGAGATGCCGGCAGATCACCAGGAGATGTCAGCAGATCCAGCAGATCACCAGGAAATGTCGGCAAATCACCACAAGATTTCAGCTGATCACTTGGAGATGCCGGCAGATCAGGAAAGGGTTGAGGATGGTGATTCGAATGGGGCAGCTATGCCTGATGCGCTTGAGAAACTTGGGATTTCAGGAATGGACTCTGGCAAAAGCCGGATTGCGGTAGGTGTGACAAATCTCACTGGACAAGAACTTGAACAGTGTGGAAATTAGATAAGTGGGCAGAGTCCCATATCTGACTCAAACACAATGAGGATAGTTTATGATAGTTTGCTGTAGTTGCATATCCGCAATTTTCCTGGTTAAACGCACAAAGCCATACAAGACCAGTCTAGTGAATTAATTATCCTCATTGATTCCAAATTCTGATGCAAATCCAATCACAAATAATGGAACAAAAATGGTCATGAAATAATATGAAATATATATATTATGTGTTGAATATGTTTTCTTATTGTTTTCTTTTTATATGTGTATATACGTATATATAATATAATGATTTTTCCCCACTTGCCAGGTAAAGGTCTCGAGATTTTTTTGTCAGACGTGCATCCCGTCCTCCTCCTTCTTCTCCTCGTCCTCCGGTTCTCAACCGCAAGCTGCACACAGCAGTGGGCACTGCCAAACCTCAACCGGGAGCTCCAGATCTCAGTGGGCACTGCCGGACCTCAACTGCGTGCGCCAGATTTCAATGGGCACTGCCAGATCTCAACCGCGAGTTGCAGATTTCAGTGGGCACTGCCTGACCTCAGCCAGACGCCAGAGAGAATATCAGAATAGATGCCAAATAGAATGCCAGAAGGAATATGAAAATATATGCAAAAAATAATATGCTAGATAGAATGTCAAATTTATTGTCAAAATATATGCCAGAAAGAATATCAGATAAAATATTAGAATAAATTTTTATAAATATATTATATATATATATTGATATATATTTTTTTAGGTGGTATGTTAAAAATTATATGGAAATAATATTTTAGGACGGGAATTATTCGAAAAAATTAATTTATTTTTTGACGGAATTTTATAAAATTTTAATTTAATAAATTTTAATTTTATTATTATTTTTAAAATAAAAATATATATATATTAAATATGTAAAAATATATATTATATATATTTTTGTTAATATTTTTTTTAAAATTTATATAAAAAATATATATAATTGTTCGAAATTAATTTCCTTAAAAAATTACAATATTTTTGGGAAATTTGGCGAATTTAAATATAATTTGTACGAATATAAAATTAATTTATTTTTTTTATTTGGATTTTTTTTATATATATATTTTTTTTTTGTGTGTTTTACTAAATAATTACAATATGGTCGATTGGGATTGATTAGAAAATATGCTAAATATAATGTTAGAAAATATATTATAATATATTGCAAAAAATATACCAAATAATATATAAAATAAAATACTAAAAAATATATTAAATAAAATATAAGAAAAATTGCTAATATAAGGCGGCGATGGAAATTTTAAAATTATTTTATTTTAAATTATTTATTATATAATATTTATATATTATTTTATTGATAAATTTTTTGAAATTCTATTTAATATAATTTTTATTATTTTATTTTATATATTTTCTGATATTTTATTTGTATTAGAATGCATTGATATGTCATTCTCTTTTCAAGACATTCAACCATATTTTCCATTTGCCATATCGGCACCGTGGCGTGATAGGCGCCTTGAGCTATTAGCGGCGCGACCCCTAGCGTGAGGCAAAACATCGTGGACATCAGAGAGACAGGTACTTGCTACTTCGTGTGAGCATTGATTGTGAAATTGGTAGCGGGACACTACAAGATTTAGAGACCGTAGGCTCCTATTACCACCACCTATATCATTGCATAGGGCTTTACATCGATCATTGAGGGTAAGATTGAGAACAACTTTGTCTTTAATTTAGGAATGTTGTAAGCATGCCAGGCAATGGTGGTGGAGAAGCCGCAAATGGTGGAACAACAACAGGAGCAGCAGGACAAGGGCATCAACAGAGAGAACGTGGCTTAGATTCTGGTTTGGCCAAGTCTGCACCGATTGCAGAAGGCCTCAACCAGAAAAGTTACCGAAGCTACCGTAGGCGATTGCAGCTTTTTGCAAAGCAATGTGGTCGTCGAGGTCGTGACACAGCGATCGAAGGTACCTTTCTTGCAGTGAGTCTCCTATATGATGCGGCATGGGAAGCAATTGAACAGTTAGACTTGGATGAAATAAAATTGGATGATGAGCCCTTCAAACCCATCTTCACTCTCCTTGACAAGCTGTATCAGTATGAGGACTTGATCGAAGTACCAAGCCGATGCGAGGAGTTCTTTCAGGATTTCATGAGACTGAAGAATGAAGATCTTCAGGCGTACATCCTGAGACATGGAACCATGATGAAGAAAATGCGAGAAGTACACATAGAAATCCCGAAGCTCATGGCGGGTTGGCACTTGTTGACTCGAGCTGGAGTACCAAAATGGACGCATGTGCAAGTCAAGTCCATGTGTGGAGGTAACTTGGAATACGACAAGGTCGTGAAGTCGCTCATGAGAATGTTCGGAGGTGACCACCGTCCGAACCCAAAGGACATCGGCAAGAGCAGTCGTGAGGACGTTTTCTATGAGGACATGGATGACGAGATCTACTACCAAGACGAAGACGATGAGTCATACTATGAGGCGTTCTATGAGGACGAGTATGACGAAGGCATTGAAGAGGCCTACTATGAGGATGAAATCCCAGAGGACATCGAGCATGCGGCTGACCAGGTGGAGGACGCATTTGTGAGCTACGTGGAGAGCCGCCGCAGGATGAGAGAGCTTGCATTGGCTCGTGGCTTCTATCCGGTGGTTGCACTTCCGCCGGATGTCATAGAAAAAGGCAAGGGCAAGTCCAGTGGAAAAGGACGTGGAAAATCAAAAGGCAGCAAAGGAAAAGGAAAAGGTCCCAACAACAACATGCGGAGAACTCCATGGACGAGAAGGCCAGCGAGCTTTTTTTTTCCCTCCGGTTTGGCCGTTCGCACTAGGCACGGTCCTTACAATTGAG